CAACAGGAGTTGTCGAAAGCTAGATAGTAATGCTATAAAAGGTTAGTGAATTGAGGAATTTTAATCTATTTAATCATACACCTAACCAATGAACAATTTCGGATATACTTGGCCTTTATTTTTACTTTTCACCTACATGTTGATTTAACATTTTCCTAAATCCTAACCGATTTGGCTTGCAGTATAAATACTAGTAATGCGCGAAAAAGAAAAACGTCAAGGAATCAAACATAAAAATATGATAAGTAAAATACATGTTCAACCTTTTGTGATATACGAAAAGTTATCAAGCCAAAATTTATAATTGAGTTTACGACGGATCTTACTCTCAAGTTCTATGCGGGGGGGGGGGTTATAAATAAGTGCGAGAAGGGACGTGGGCCGACAACACGGGACTTAATACATTTTTTCAAAAATGTAATTATTCTATCAATTACTCCGCTTTGTTATAAATTAAGTACATCGTTTGCACCGATCGAGTTTACAAAGCTAACGCCTGCGTAATTTGGTTTATCTTATGTGTTTGTAATTAACCAAATGTGGTATTTCGAGATGTAGTTGTTGTTATTAGGCGTAGGCTTAGCTTTATAAAAGCATTTTGTTAGACAGGTTTCCAATTCCTATCAATCTCATTAGACGCGATAAAATGGACGATATTATTTAATGGAATCTCATAGAAATAATGTGATAAATATTATCGGAAGAGGTATATAATAGCATTTCAGCTTTCTCTTTTAACCTTGACTTCTGTGTCGCTTAAATATATTTTATCAGTAAGGGCTGAATGACTGTAGTCAAAATAAATCACTTTCCTACACTATACATACAAAATGTCCTGTCTGTGGGAATACAGGACATACGAATTACATAGACCCTAGGTTTCTATACCAGCTTAACATACATTCAATGATCATAAACATTACAGAAATGAATGTTTCTATCCGGACTTATTTCCACAAGTAACCTTCAAAGTCAGACATCCTCTTTAGCATAAAGGCGATTTTTCAATTTCGCACAGTGGTATCTAAAATGACGTCGTTATTAATACGTCATGAAATCCAGGCCATACCCGGATGTGTCTACTCCTTCAATTAGAAACAAAACACTAATCAACGCGACCGGTTGTCTTTTATTTCGTACAATATTCGAGGGTTGATTCAAAATTGTCTACTCCACAACCTCATCATCTCGTTGCCGAGGTTACCAGAAACAAAATATTATACCAGAAAAATAGCACGCTTAGTAGAATATCCTATGATTTTGAGGAATATCATTTTTATCTACTATTGAGGATATGATACGAGATGGTGCAGATATCAATATCAACGAGTAGATCAAAACGATATTCTGAAAAAATATAGGATATTCTTGATATCTTGTACTAAGTGTATATTGACATATTGATATATTGATATATTGCATTGAAAAACAAATTGCACAAAAATCAACAAGCGGAGTACACTGCATCAAAAATGGAATTTCTAGTAATTTCTAGACTTAGACGTGCTTAGAGATGTTAAGAGTTGGTTTCATCGCGTGCCTAGAGGTGTCAATAATTGTCACGCCTATGCACCCGGCGTGCTTAGACTTAGTTTCTAGACATGTAGACGTACTTTTAGTGTAGGAATCTATATAAATGATAATCTTTACAGGGTTAATTTATGTTTTCCTACACTCAATGTACTTAATGTATAATAACATTAAAAAATAAATTTGATGTCTATTTGCAAAACGAATAACCGGAGGATATATGTACTTCGGAAAACCAATATCATATTGAAAATTCGTTCAGATATTCATGCCCGTAGCCAGCTTTTGTCAAGGAGGGGGGCACGTTTTAATTCCAGGGGGCTTTAAAGAAAGAAATGACCAAAATGACTTGAAAAGTGCTCAGAATAGTGAAAAACTGCATGATTTTAAAATAATTTTTGAGGTTCTCACTCGACCCCCTCCCGAGCCTGGATATTTTCAGTATCCGTATTGAAGAAATAAATTGCATCATCGGACGCGCGCATTGATTATATTTGCAACTGGTAAATATATATGCATTTTCATGTAATATATACATATCTTAATTTCATTTCTCCAAGTATAATAAAGTCTTAGAAAGTAAGCCTCTTACATAAGGTAGAAAGAATATATTTAATGGAGCACTGACGACATACTAAAACTGCTCAGTGAATAAAACAAGGAAGGTACATTAGGTATGGCACTAGACAGCTATGAAGCTATGTTTTATAGGATTTTCATTTTTTATTTTTAAACGTATTTTAGACTGCAAATCTTGTTGCATGGTAAGTCTTATCGTTTTGCCTCGCGTATTTTTTCGACCCTCCGATCTAGGTTGTTGTTCTTGGTAAATGAATATGTGGGCGTACAAAATCAAGGGATTATTTAGAGTAGAATATGCCAAGGGCAACGACTTGCATTGTTTGTTTGCTCGCTTTTCCATTGAAACAGGAACATCCTCATTATCACTGGCTAGTATCAAGCGAAGGTAACGGCTGTCACCTTCGCATCAAAGATGGCGGACGGGAAGTTTCGATTTCAATGTTTTTAGTTGAATTAAACTTCAAGGATATCTTCCACGGCTTAAGGGAAGGTAACTGGGATTTTTGGTTTTACAGATGATAAGATAACTGATATGCGGTGATGCGGTAACGTTATGGGAGTTTATAATGGAGAGCTAAGATGTCTCGTTGCCGTGTATTGAAAACTAACATGACCGTTACAGTACCTTACATTTCCAGTTACCTTCCCTTAAGCGGTGGAAGATATCCTTGAACTGTGGCGCCCACGCATGATATACAGACAAATTATCATATTCCATAGTTCCCATCTCATATATGAGTCTGATTTGGTTCAAATATCAAAGCATTACGTCAACTATAAAGTGGTTTAATTCGATGAAAACTAAAAAATATCAAAAGCGACACTTCCCGCCCGCCATCTTTGATGCGAAGGTGACGGCCGTTACCTTCGCTTTATACTGACGAGTGATTATACTGTACAACAAATAATATTGTAAGGCTATGTACGTACATATTTGCATTGTTTTAGAAAAAATAAACGTTGACCCACAAATCTTTTTTTAAACTGGTATGTTTTGTGAGAACGGGGAATGCCCCGGGGTGAAGAAGAACCCGGGAATATGTAGACTTACATATGAAATGGTCATTTTTAGAACAATTAGCTTAGAGACTTTAAAAATACCATAAATATCGATATCGATTATAACCATTTACGTCTTTAAGTTTTCCTATCAACGCCTGTCCTACATCGACGAATTGCTGTATAAACAACTATGTTTTGAATGCCTAAGGTTTCGACCTATTGCTCTAAAAATATGATATACAATCTATTCTAGGTGATTGCACGCTTCATCCTTCACTCTGATGCGACAATTTGCTTCAGCTAAATAAATGGTATGTTTAGCATATACGCCAGCAATTATTTTGAAAAAATCAATAAGGTCCTTTTAATTTCGGGAAATATGTTCCTTTGGTAGAGAATGGAAAGTCGATTTTATAATACCCCCTTATCTCCAACAATTCTACAAAAGAAAAATAATGTTAAGCTTAAAACTGAATTGCTCTTGCCTTAAAAAGTGTGTCGTATTGGCAGACGAAAGAGAAGAGAAGCGAACGATCGAATTTAGGATGGACAGATTTAGTAAACAGTTCTATTTTAATCGAAATGACGTGGTGCGACTTCGATTCCATACAAAAAATACAATGAAACGTCCGAGTTTCATATTTTCATTTTCCTTGTTATCAGATATCAATAGAAGCCAGGAGGGGAGTAACTTGTTGACAGCATGTTAGTCGCGCGAATTCTATTTTGTATAATTGTTGATGAGAAAGATTATAAAAGTGCAAAGAAAAATAATCCATAAGATACCATCACTAAAGAACATATTTTCAATGAAACTTTTTGCAAGTGTCAAGTTTGCAAAGCATCAATTTCAATCTGTAGATAAGGAATGAACTTGGATGCGATGATTTGTTAAATACTAGTAGTTTTATATCCAAACATTAAACCTCTTAAAATAGACTACTTATTTACAAAATGTCAAAAATGATACAGGGGCATCATTGGATAATTGAGTGAAGTTCAAGATCAGTGCAGGTACATGTAGATCCGATCCATTGTATGTGATGGGCCTGTGATCTTCAACCTGTATGTATCTCAAGTATGTGGTAATATCATTATGACCGGGCGAGGACACACAACGGCGCGTTTCTTCAAGAATGAGATATGGGAGCTAGACTTCTACACCACATGTTACTATTAAAATGTTGGTCAAAAGTTTATTGTGTAACAACAATAAAAACTGTTGGAACCAAATGTCTGTGCAAAAATTAATTGAAACGCATGATTAACTGAATGTAACGTAATGTAAACAGAACATTACAGAAAATAACATTGCATCAGAAGTAGTTACATAATTACATAATATGATAATTAATATCATGAACCTCACATGTCAAATTTCACCCTAATAAATATATAAATGAGTGGGTTCAACTTGACTTCGTATTTGTATCTTAAGAGTGTGGAGTGATATCATGACCGGCCGAGGACACATTGCGGCGCGTGTCTCGAACCAGCCCAGATTCATTGAAACCACGTGGATGACCAACTTTAATGCGTCTATGAGACAGCCCTATGAACCCCTCTATTTACCGACGCTACAAATGCATTATTAAGAGGTAGGTTTTAATTTCAGTTGATTTGTACTACCGAGGACTCGAGTCATCATATTGATGCCAATTTCAACAGTTTAGTTAACAGTTAAGACGTAATATCGAGGAATATTCATATTTGCCTTGTAGGTTTAAAGAAATCTAGTCGAACATGCGCGTTTGTTTGGAGGAGGAACTATTTTTCTTAATAGCCAATCAAAAAAGTTTTACCTGATTTATCTCTGACGTCAGGGGTTTCATTCATAAATATAAATATAAGGCCATGTGGAGTCTCTACTACGTTTTACTACGAGTCTAACATTGCCAATAAATATTTTGAAGCAACACGGAAGAACGCAAACACCTTTGAGACAGACTCTGAGTGATAGAGGCCTATCAAACTGAATAAAAATCTAAAAAGTGTGTTAAATACCAAACATGGGTTTAGTTGTGACATTTATTAGCTGGTGTTGGCCGGCCATTTTACTTATGGTTATTATGAAATTATGGACGATTTACAACGATAGTAAGATGGACCAAACAAGCCCCCTCCCCCTACCACGGGGATCTTACGGCCTACCGATAATTGGAGAGACGATCGCCTTTGTGACACAAGTAAGTTGATCAATTTTACATTTACTTGATTGTGCGAAATAGTAATATCTAATTTTCTTGATAGGTGACGTAATAAGAAAATATGGGGTCCGTTGTGTTATTTATGTACTGCTATTAATATGAATCTTGGCGAATGGGGCAATTTAAAAATATTCGGGCATATTTTCCTTTGGCACCAATTTTCACAGAATGCATTTATGGATCCCAACTTGAAAAAGCTATGCACTTTTTAAAGTTTAGATTACATAATTAACAAAGGTTAAAAGTATAAAAAAGAGATTCAACATATTTACAGAAGCATGTTCTTCAGATGTATGCAATATGTATTAGCGCTGGTGTTAATGCCTCAGTTACATTTGATCTACGGCAACCGTACGGCGGCCGTAGGTTCCCAAAATCGAGAGAAATATGCAGCATAAAATATAGGGATAAGCAATACGATATATAAGTAAAATAAAATGGGAGAACAGTGCTCGCAAAGAAAATAAGATGAAATTCCCTTATCAACCCATATACGCATTACGAAAATAGTAAAGAATGTACGACAACAGTTTATTCATGATTAGAGTAGTCTAATCCATGATAAACCTGGATTAACTGATTATGCACGAGTATCACCAAATTACTAAATTTTTATGGTATAAATAATATCAATTGAGATAAACACCGCATTAAAGAATATTTAGAACACATGTCATCGTACGGTCCAGGAAATTACGTTAACATCAATATATCGCAGACAGAACTTATGGCCACCACAGCTCCGAAGTGGAACGTTCTCGTATCTTTGAAATTTGAAACGGGACGTGACCGCAGAATTCCTCTTCACGTTCACGTCTAAATGCATCAAATGACACAATTAAGGATCGGAGTTCTCCGAAAGTACGTGACCGCTCCATGGATGCGTAAGAAGTGTTTTGTTTTGTGAATACCTTACATGCATTACAATTTTGCAATGTTTTATGCTCAAAACACAAAGAACATTTGCAAGAACATAAAAACAATTGTTTATGATAATTCTGAACGAAAATGTAACTCATTAGTAGGTCGACACCGAAATCGACCGGGCTCATCTGTAATTCCATATATTTACTTACTTTTTAAATACAATACAATATTCAACTAATTACAAACTATTGGTTGATTCTACCTTCGATGTTTGATAGAGTTGAGTGTACGTTTCGAAAAATGTCGCAATGTTACAATTTTTCTGCTCTCATCATTCTAAGGCTTTCCCTTTTTCTTAAAATTCCAGATCAGTGTGATTGAAGAAAACAATCGGAAAGTCGGGTGTTCCCATTTTCAATCCTAATGAATTATGACATGTCTATATCTTCAATCTTAATAACTTTTATTATATCAGATATAGTAAATTCTATCTTGGTGAAAACCTCTCTCTAGTGGACACCTGTCCCTAGTGGACACTGGACACCCTTCCTCCGCACATACTCTACTGACTTCTGTATAAATTACCCTCTCTCTAGTGAACACCTACCAACACTGAACGTTTTTAAATATTTGCTTCCATTGATTGCTATAGTTTATCCCCGCTATCCCTTCAGTTTGCCTTTGATGTTAGAGTGAGCAGATTTTTTGAAAAAGAAACCGATTATGTCATGAAGAAATCAAAAACAAATTTCATCCGTTCACGAAATGATGAAAACATGGTAAATCCCGAAAATTGTAACTACCTATAAGCTAAAATAAGATATGGGCGAAGGAAATCAATAAATGAAAATATCCAAATTACACGTGCCTTTAGTCAACCACCGCGAAAATGTTCATTAATGTTATAATTAATACATTTGGTTTTATTCATGAAGACCAGCATTTGAGAAGCATAGAAATGTTTTTGTAAAACGATAAAAAGATAAAAGTTCATAATTCAGTGTTAGGTTTCTTGGATTTATCGCCATCTTGAATAGCAGTGATTTTCACTTTGCATTATTGAAAAAACATTTGCTAAAGTTATCGGTCAACGTCATACACATTTTCATTGAGATGTAGCTCAAGACATTTGCGGTAAGTTGAACAACTGGTTCGAATTCTTGCAAAAGTCAAGCGAGCATAATTCGTTCAAGATTGCTTCAGAAAGGGCAAATTTTATTGTCTCGAGGAAATCATAAATAAGAAGAATACGCCGCGCCAGTCGCCAAGTCCTGTTGCCGAAAATTAGCAATCGCTCTGATAAAGAGCTTATTGACGTGGTATCCAATTGGAAAGTGAGACAATGGGATGGAAAGTGTTTACATTGAGAGATGCTGTGACTAGAGAGCCATTTACCCCCGGTATTTACCCTTTCCAAGAGTGTCATTTTCGTTCTGTGTAAGAGGTTATCGGCTAGACCGAGTTTCGTAGTTATTGAAAACAAGCGTGACCCCGGACAGACTTAAATAGCATAGATTGTGTCAAAAAGTCAACATAAGCCAAAAGACATGGATAATAAAGCGCTGTACTTGTTTAAAACTGAGAAAGCAAAATCAAACGATTGTTTATACAATTGAAGAGTGAATGCATTTTGGTGTTAAAGGCCCATCGGGTAACGTGGGGTACTAAGAGCTACTGTCTGAATTTGTTCAAAAATGTTCCCGACCTCTTAGTATGAGGGCATTTTTTACTTCCAATTATTTTCTGTAAGATGTTAAGAAAATTCAACTTTTGCTCTGTAATGTTACTCTTGTGCAATTCTACTTTAAACCGAACGTCGTCCATATTTAACCAAAGCTCCATCTTTTACACGCTTGTCGTGGCATATTAATGATGCGCAGGTAGCGAACATGTAAGGACAATGGCTCGCGTGCCATGCCTGACCACGTGCTTATAAAGGTCACAACGACCATTGAATATGGAAGAAAAAATATGGCCTCAGATGAACCAAGTTTGACCTAAAAATACCGAATGTCCTAACGGGTACAGATGACGGAAAAACCTTGGACAATGAAAAAATTCAGCAAGTGATGAGTTGAATCGGATATTTTCACACAAGAGGCACGGTGGCCTTCAGCTCGTCTTTAATTCAATTTATAACCGGAGCTTGTGGTCCAGGGACTGCGGTTCGCCATAATCACTTGCCTCGATGTTAAATTCTTTCCATCTGAAGACCTCAAAAACACAACAATGAGATTCAAACCAGACTCATTTGCATGAATATCAAATTTTTCATTTTAGTAAACAGTGATTGACAGCCTAGAAGGCAAATATGATAGATGTGATATGATCTTGCAAAATCTAGGTTCAAATCACAGTTTATAGGCTTCTAGGTTCATGCACGTGGAAAATAAAATACCAACTAGAAATTCCAAGTGTCTGTCGTAAAATCGGTTAATTGTGCACTTGGACCAAGACCCAGAGCTGAACATTCAGTACATATTGTAGGAAAAAAATGTTTTACTTGTAAATCAATTTTGGTAAACTCGGTTAATGTACAATTTAATTATTTAAGTTCAAACGCCCTAATCTTTGAATAACGTAATTTGCAATTTATAAATTATGGATTTAGAAGACGAAATTATTATGAGCTCTCGTACACGCGTCTCCTGAAAACTAGTTTCTGAATACATTAAGGTCGCTGACCATGACTCCGTCCAAGTAAAAAAGTAACCAATGCAATGAATAGATGGATAAGTGTAAAACGTGACATCGTCAAACCGACTTATGCAGGCCAACCTGCTGTCAGTGTCAGTCATACATGATCAAGGATTTCCAAAGACTCTCTATACTCGCATCTACATGGCATACGTGGACATAAAGTATAACTAAAAAAGTGGTTTGATTTATGCAATTTTCGCATCCTTCGTTATAAGTGCATACTGTATCTCCTAAAAGTATTTTTCTTTCATTTGGGATTTGCCGTTTTTAATTAAACCCAGAAAACGTTATAACCTTGGAGTTTACAAAGCTCAACAAAAAAGTTTTAAAAATCTCACTATACATATAGATGCACATGGTCTTATTATGAACTCAATTCACTGCCTCCATGCAATGAATTCTGTATACAATTTTTGAAAGTTAGAGAAAATTATATATTTGATCAAGACAAAATTATTATTCGCCTATAGCTAGGTTAAGCGTTTTGCGACATCTTTCTTAAAGAGGCGTTTTTTAAAATTCTATCTTTTTGATGCCAGATGTCGCGTTTCTTTTCCAGTTAAACTGTCAAATGTTGTATGTGCAAAATTACATATTTCTGCTGTTCTTTTTCAGTTTTTGTTTGACGAAACACGTCTCCAAAAATATGGGAATGTATTCAAAACCCACGTGCTGGGAGAGCCAACAATTATATGCATGGGGCCAGAAAATGTTCGCAAAGTTCTCTCTGGTGAACATCGTGTCGTCACTTCAAGCTGGCCGTCTGCTATAAAAAGACTCTTCGGTGAAGGCGCATTATCTCAGAGCTTTGGCGGCATTCATCGTAAAAGACAGAAGCTCGTTCGAAAAGCATTTACCCATGATGCACTGAAGAGTTACGTCACGCCAATTCGAGATCTCGTGAGGAAACACGTGACCTACTGGTGCGATGGAGAAAACGAAGTACAGGCGAAGTCAAAATTGAAGAGCATGTTGCTCGAAATAGCATGTAAAGTTGTGCTGGGATTAGAATACGAAAAGAGTGATTATTCAAAAATTGTAGAAACGTACGAAACCTTCTCCAATGGATTCTTCGCACCACCGATCAACATACCCGGGAGTGTGTTTTACAAGGTAATCTACCGCATTTAAAATAACTACTAGTAAAGACAAACCAATCTGATAATGCACATCAACATCGAATCAAATCTCACCCACAATTTAAACAGGGTAAAATTCTCAGTGTTTCTTTTCAAATTATTACATTCTATTTGGTTTGTTTTGTAGATCTAAAGTTCATGTTTTTAGCTTCTCACCTTTTTGCATTATAGGCGATGCAAGCCCGGAAAACACTTCATAAATATGCCCAAGAGAGTATGGACAGAAAGACAAACGATGACAGGATAGACGCCTTGCAATATATCCAGTCGTCTATCGGGGAAAATGGAGAAGCATTGAGCGAAGAGGAAATCCGTGAATCGGTCATCGAACTGATGTTTTCTGGCCATGAAACAACAGCTAGCGCTTGTACCTCTGTCGTAATGCTTCTCGCGAGACATCCTGATGTAATTGGGAAGATTCGTGATGAACTTGATAGATATGGGATGTTCGAGGAAGATGGATATGATGTAGACCTAGACGATATTAATCGGTTACAATACGTAGGACAAGTGATGAAAGAGGTCTTGAGATTGGCACCACCAACTGGAGGTGGCTTTCGAAAGGTTTTAGAGACATTTGAACTTGAGGTAAATACATGTAGGCATAAGCAGAAGCGAGAGTTGATCGTGAAAAAAGTCCAAATGCTATTAAAATATACAATTTTGTTAACTGTTTCCCTTGCTTTTGAAATTGTATAATGATAAAATAGTCTGAATGTATTTTTTTTTCTTTTTACAGGGTTGTCAAATACCAAAAGGATGGACCATCATATACAACATCAGTAACACACATCGTTTATCAAACCATTTTGACAATATTTCCGACTTTGACCCCGACAGATGGCACCCCGATAGCATGACCAAAAATCAGTCATTTCATTACTTGCCATTTGGGGGCGGCGCTCGATCTTGCGTAGGAAAAGAGTTCGCAAAACTACTAATCAAAATCCTGATTGTAGAAATGGCGAGATCCTGTTCATGGACAGTTAAACAATTATATCCAAGAATGTCAAGGTTACCCGTCCTGAATCCCGTCGATGGACTACCAACGTCATTTAAACGTTACGGAAAAGAAAAACAGGGGGTGTGCTGCCAAGACGGAATAGCGCTCTTAAAAGAAGAGAACCTACGAGGAATTTGAATGTGTTAATACATAGACAGATATGCCTCCGGATATGGTTCCACCAGGGACATTATGTTGGGAAATATATGTAAATTATAAACACGACCAAAGCTGAGACGTTAACATTCCAGATCATTCTAGTCTAACACACAGGCATTAGTACTTGACAAACAAAAGTATTTTAATTATTTTATCGGTCCAACGTATTTGCCAAATTATAACATAATTTGAAGCAATCCTGGAACTGTGTGTTAGATTAGAATGTTATTTCAGAAGAACAACCAGTCATTAATTCATAAAATGAGTATACCGGTGCTTTATTTATATTATTAGATATATATTAGATATAATAGATAAATATATTGGATGTAATAAATAAATACTTGTCTATGTAATTATAAGGATTTAACTGTTTGACCACATATTATACAAACAATGTACACGTAGCTGCGTATGACTACTGCAGATTTTAATAGGCCAAGTTGATTTTCATTGGTGTTTATGAAAATTTAGATCAGGAGGAATATGCCCTCAGAGATTCAGAAAAGTATAATTTGCTTTTTAAAAACATAGCATTGTCCTTTTGTCCAATAGCAAATCACAGTGAACATTCTGCGAAAAAATGTGAGATGGCAAATTATCATGTTTGCTACAAATGGACTTTTGATATCCATTATCCAAATTCACATCGATATCCACAATGACATGCAGTTCTATTGAAAGCCAATGCAAGAAGCTAAAACAAAATTAGAATGACGATGAATGGCATGAGATACATACTGAACAGGCCCGTGGCCAAGGGCGGGAGTATGGGGGGTTCGAGCGAAATCATGCAGTTTTCACCACTTTGAGCACGTTTCAAGTGATTTTGGCCATTTTTAGGTCAATGTTGTCAAAAGTGAAACCCCCAGGAATTTTTCCAAAAAATGAACCCCCTTGGCAAATCCTGGCTACGGGCCTGTTGATTAAGATTTTTTTCTAATATACAATCCCTTCCAAAAGTTTGGCAACCTTTGCAGGGGAGTGTATATATACGACGAATAGGCTAAGTGAGGCAAAATATCTGTGTCTATCGTGAAAATGATTCTCATTATAACAGGGAAGCATAGATCACAAACGATCAATTTAAATAAGATATGCATTTTTGGAAAATATATTTATTTGTGCAAATCTATTTCACATGGTGTACAATATTATTTATGATCAGACCAGCATTGAAAGTTGTAAAGTAAACTCATATATATTATCATGATTCTATAGACTATAGACAAACAAATATTTATATAACTATAGACAAACAAATATATATTATATGATGAATGTTATAAATACAGTGATATTGTAACGTAAACATGTAATTATACAATCATGTATTGTCATAATTTTTGATATATCATCTCTGGAAAAGACTTAAATTACACTTTTTAAAATCGTCTGCAAAAAATTCTTAATATGCTGTAGATAGTATAAAATGATAGAACACGTTTACGTTAAATAGTTTCAAAAAGTAAATAAATGCAAATGCTTCTACATTTTGCATGTGTATGCTGTTCACTGGGTATCGTAAAACTAAATATATCTTGACTACTCTCATATTTTCACATATCTACACTAAACGTGATATTCTCAATCTACATGTATACGGTGTATATGCTGTATGTATGATCAAACACTGAGAAGCAAATAAAACTTTGCATTATTGTAATTTTTCTAATTCTGTCATTGGTTGAACACCCATCACACGACACTCTTGTGATTTATGTTCATTGATAGAAAGGCTAGTCTCTTTGGAAACCGATTCCTTCAAAACGATTTCAAATATTATGCCCGACACAATTGTGATTATGACCAATCAGTAAGATAGTATGTAGGTACAGTTGTCATCTATTTGCAATGATAACATGCCATATCTTCTAAAAACATCATGTACCTGAGCCTCGTTCTGATGTGCGAATACTTTTCACTTCGTTTTTTAATAATCATTCCCCTTGTTACAGAATGAGACACTTAACAATGAGAATGAGACGCTTAACAATTAAAAAAGGAAAATATGCTGTTGTTAATATGTCTGAAGGTCATGACACTGCAAATATATAAGATGCTGTTTACTAAATAAGTATAATATGGCCTTTAAGACAATGCTAATGAAGTCTACTTATTAATATTATGTATACTTATATCATACACATGTAAGATGTATATAGTTTCAAAATATAAATATTTAGTGAAAGTGTAAGAAATCTGATTTCGTAAATATCTTTCAGAGATTATATCTTATACAACTTATTCTAAGAGATTCTATATTACTATATACTGTATATACAGTATATAGTTCAAGTCATTATGCTGTTTTAAAGTATGCTGTAAATGACTACACACTCCACCATAGATTTGGAAACCGGAAGTTCCTCTTTGAATCACTTATCAAACCCTTTCTATGGTTGGCCATTTAGAAGTAATCAAAAGTTATACATCTCCGAACAACTAACAGGCGTGTATATGCCACCCAATAAAAGCGCATACGGTTGCCAAACTCATGGAAGCTCTATGCTCTTTAGTTAATTGTCGCATGACCTCATACTTTTGTATAATTATATGCTGTTTAATTCTATACACTATGAAATACTAACTCAAGTTTGTCTTAAGTGATATTCAAACAACTACATTATTAGACAGCATTCGTAATCTCCTTTTTCTTGTAATCGATTGTAAGCACAGCTTCATTTTGATCATTGGCATCAATTAGCGCGTTTGTTTCCTCTGAAACGCTCCAGTTGGGTTCGTCATCGAATAGCTCGCCACCTTTAGGCTCATCCCAAATTGGCAAACGAAGAATAAGACCTATAAAATATGAAAACCCTTACCGATGTGCCTATTCTAGCCATGAATAATTCACGTAACATATCGAGTGCCAACTTCAACTATTTTTAATTATAATGTGAGTCGATTATATAGATGTCACCAGTATACATTATAGCGGAATGATTGACAACCTAAAAGTCTTTCTCATTATTGTTTACCTGTTACACAACCCCCAACGATCGCAAATGCCAGTGTAACGCACACTGCGGCCATCTGATAACCTCCTTGTTCAATGGGAGTCCGCCCCACTTCAATGTTCACCTCTGAAGTGTTACCAAGTGTGCTATTGGAACTGGCCATAGCCGGGTACAGCTTATAAAGGCTATAATAAGAATATAAACCTCAAATTAAGACTACAATAATTATGTAAAGGTTAAAGGCTGCAATAATTGTAGATTCAAAGCTTTAAAGTGCGATATTATAAACCCACTAATCATTATGTACGTACCTATCCCCATATTTCTCAGGTGTTGCCAGCGCGGCTACTACTGCACCAGCTATGCCTGCGAGAAGCCCTGGCATTCCGTGAAGATTGTTCACTCCGCACGTATCATGGAATCCAGCTTTTTCGTTCAAGAAAGGCTACAATCACATTTTTCATATCATATTATTATAATTAATTCATTTATTTATTTATTTAAACATGACATAGGCACGTTTCACATTTTTTAAAATATTCAATCATATATATTTCAAAAATCCATTATCTTAATTAGACGGATTCGAATGAGATGTTTGTTATCTCGTTCGAAAGGAATTCAAATTCATGACATAAGAAGATTCTCTATAATTGTTCTTGGTATTAATTATCAGTTGATGTATTTATTTTTGATCTTTTATATTCATTCATTCCGACACAAATCCAGATATCGAAATGGCTTCAAGCATAATCTAACTATGTTATACCTTATGTTTAGGTGTAGAAAATGACTAGCCGTTTGACACAATAACTTACCGTCAAGAACTGGTAACCCACTGTCGACAAACTCCCAGCTACGATACCGATGATGACAGCACCATATGGATAGATGACCATGTTAGCAGTTGTGCCGACTGCAACGCCACCCGCCAATGTGGCGTTTTGAACGGCTACCTGGTTATACACAAGAATAGGTAATATTAGTTTTATGTTCACCACGCACTTATCTTAAAATCCGAGTTTTTGTTCAGGGAAGGCTCCAATCACATTTTTTATTTAAAAAAAACATTTTTCGTTCAGGGAAGGCTCCAGTCACATTTTTTATTAATTGATTTATTTATTTGAACATGGTTTAGGCACAATTTACATTTTTATGTATAGGATTCATTCATCAAAACCTGAGAAAGTCAGTCGATTCTGGTATTTGTTATGTAGGTACATTTAATTGGAGTATCATAACTTTATACTAAACTGATAGGACAGATAATACAAAAATATTGTTATTTCAAAAAGAGCTATAGACTAGTAAGATTAGTGTATTTTCTCATCAGATCTCGACATTTCATTTTACCGTCGCAGCACGTGTTTACATCGAACCACTGCCATGGGAGTTTGCCAGGAACCTTTCCCAAGGTTTTTGCAAGGTGAGCGTATTGACCTGTACAAATTTTCAAGTAGCTACACTTGGCTTATCATTATTAAACTACTTATGTTTTTTCACACAAGGCCAAGGTTTTCCTGGATTCATATTTCTATTCATTTGTTATAAATAAAATTCACAAAAAGCTATCTGGCCGTGTTCTGATGCCCGGATGTGATGTTTGATGTTCATGTATGTGTGGAAGCTCTCTTGAGTTGAGATATTTAATGCCAGTTGTATACCTTAGTCTAATATCTAATAGTACGAAATTTATGCAAAAATTATTGTATCATTCTTGATTCACAAAAATAAGGCCTAAAAAATTAATCAAATAACCAGGCTGGACTCTGCCGTTATGACCATCAGCATAGGGCCAAATTGACCACTTTTTCAGACAGGGTCTTTTTATATGTCCAATATTATCATCTGTTTGTTGTACAACATTTTCCTATACCAGTTCAAGAAACTGGACGTAAGCACTCCATCTGAAGTACACTGAGATGAGAGGTTAGACCTCCATATTCCCATTTTTGCAGAAGAAAGTGTAATTAACTTAACAGATATAAATTATAAAACAATTTTAACATAGATAAACCAATATGAAATGCATAAGTTGATATACAGCGAGAGAGTGTTTTGGAACTTTGGGGATGAAATCAATATGAAATGCATAAGTTGATATACAGCGAGAGAGTGTTTTGGAACTTTGGGGATGAAATCAATATGAAATGCATGAGTTGAAATACAGTGATCGAGAGAGTGTTGTGGAACTTTGGGGATACACTAAACTAGAGTATTGGGCAACCCACTACTTCCTGTACTTAAATCCTCAGGCAACTCTTTCTAAAGAAAACTTAGGACAAAACAGATTACTTTTTTATCGCCAAGTGTCTTTTTTGATTTTCGTCATCATTTGTTTTATTGGCTTAAAAAGGGGGTGTGTTCGTCAAATACACCCTGTAGTAAGACTCTAAATGAATGTTTAAATATAGATATTTTCAAAAAGTCACCATGATTGTGTTTTCTTGCATGTAGCTATTGACATTCTAATCTAGTCTATAATAATAAAATTTGATACTTAAAAAGCTTCGAATAAAAACAAGTCGAGGTGGCTTTTTCAATCTGGGTTACGCTGATCTCCGTTTAATACTTTGCAAAACAACATAAATAGCGAACGAATAGATACAGATTTGCCATTAAAAAGAGGTTTGGTGTTTTTTGTAATATGTTAATTCAAGCCAAAAACAAGCTACATTTGAAGAGACATTTCGATTTAAAGGTTATTACCCTTTTACTCACAAGGGGCACATATATTCTTCATTATAGCAAGCACCTCTAGTTCTATTTACTGTGACATCGTTTACCACATGATAACATGAAATGTCATTACATTCAAAATGTCACCACCTGTCATTTGTTACAGACGCCGAACTCCGGACGCCGAACGCCAAACACCGTGTTGGTGAAATAAAAACTGTTTGATGTTCTAACCATGGTTCTGTGACAATGAAATATAATTTTTCTTAAAAAGAAAATCAAAGTTTAAATATACCATGTCAAATGAAGACTTTTTGTTGAGGAGAGAGCTAACTGCAAAGACGGCAACGGTAGACGCAGCAATGGCGTAGTAAGTGTTGATAACCGCCCTACTCTGTCCATCTTCTTCCGCCAAGGCTGAGTTGAAGCTGGGCCAAAATATCCATAAGAATATAGTTCCTAAAAGTGTGACAATATAAGGCTATCAATATAGTAGTAAGAGTGTCTTCTTGAATCTACTTGCTAGTTATTACTCCCCTCTCCCATCCCAGGGGTTCCTTTGATTCAAAAAGAGGTTATATGAATTATATCGTTATACCTATCATTGAAAACAGATCAGAATGGTAGACCGAACCCTCTTTTGATGACTTTAACACATCCTTCTTGAAAATCATCCTTGCAACGGCGAGTCCAAAATAAGCACCAAATGAATGGACAACAACAGAGCCGCCAATGTCAGCAATCTACAATTCACAAAACACTTGTATGGTGTTTAAACTGCTTCTTTATTCGGTACATTAATATTCCATAAATACCAAATAAAAGAAACAATTTACCAAACTCTTACCCAATCTATTGAATGTTTTTTTATTTTATCAAATGTAATAATCTATACAATTTATATTCGCCAAATAGTTTCACTTGTTCTTTGTATTGACATTCACATTTGATATGTATACATGTATTTGTGTGATGCAGCGAATCAATTTGTTTTCCTTAACGCACGTATAATTCAATTAATTATTTGTACATTCGGTATTTAAATTATTTATATTCGGTAAATACCGAATGCCACATTCGATAAATTTCGTTATTTTTCGATAATTTACGAGACTTTCAGTCACGTGATATATTTGTACGATATAGAATAGCTGCGCGGCCATTTTGCAAATCTCGAAGTCACGTGACAAAATATCGAACAACAACGCAAGTTATCGAATATTACTTTATTGCATTCGGTAAATAGCAAATTAGCTTTCGGTAAATAGCAAATTAGCTTTCGGTAAAATGCATTAACTATGTCATAGAAAAATAAACCATTTGGTAAATATAGGCAAACTTATTTCGGTAGGGTTCAAATAGAAATTCAATATTGTGCATATAATGTGTTACTCTTAAGGAATACCATAACAATTTACGCAAAAATATCATTTAACGAATGAAATATGTAATTTAATGCACATAGTATTAAGTGATTGGCTATTTTGAAAACTTAATTTGCTGTAACAAACATATAAAGGTTTTTACCGAATGGAAAAATGATTTAGCGAATATGAATGTTTCATATATCGAATATATTTGAATTTAATGAATAAAGAAGCAAAAATAATGCCATACACTTGTGTGATATATTTTGTGTGTATCGGTGATTGTGTATCAAAAGTGCATGGAACCTGATTAAAGTTCATTTTGCTGATAGTTCGGATAAAAATTATTTTGATTTAAGGTTTTAGTCAACGTTATATTCAAGGCCATATTCCGGATCACTATAAAATAAATCATTTAGTGTGTATCAAAAGAGCATAGAAATTGCAATGACAGCACTATGCATATCTTAATTCGCTACAAAAAAATCAATCCCATAATTCATAAAACCCATTAAAATTAGTCATTTTGAAATATACCCTTAATATTTTTTTGTCACTTACAAATGAATTTTTTTACAAATGAACACTTTAAAGTATCTCGTTATATGGTTGTTGGCTGTTACCTGAAGAAGGGTCACTGTGACGTATTCATTGGCGACGAAAATTACGATTTCAAATAATATCATGACTATCAGTTGTAGAGGCGAGGTTTTACCCAGGACAGCGCCCATTGAGATTAACACTGCTGCACATGCGAAATCCGCCGTCAGGAGACTGAAAATATGTTTTAGTTAACATGAAATTGATGTTAAGAACTCATAAACGAAAATGATATTATTAGCCAACCCAACCCCACGTAAATGAAGTTATTTTGGGATGGGCTTAAGAATTACCTTTCAATTCCAACTGTGAAATACCCAAAGGTCTTTGATGAAATCATTCCAAATACAATGGTATGCCATTGGCAGGTGAATGCCGCCACTAGCAAATTCAACCCGATGCTACTGTATCCATAGCGACGAAGGAAGGTCATCAGGAAGCCAAATCCGACAAAAATCATGACGTGGACATCGGCAAACACTGCAAATACAAAGACATACATTATTTATTAAGGAATATTAAAAGTATAGAGGGCGTATCCTTCGAAAGTCAGTGTCCGTAACATATGGCATATAACATGTGATTTGTTATCGTAAAGGCAGCTATTTAGAAAAATGCTTATAGTGCATACCAGATAGACCAGAAATCTAAGGAGATAAGATGTGTAAATGTTTTTGATTATTTGAATTAGATCTTGCATTCGATAATCAGTCAAATAAGCGGGATATTTACATTTATCGTATGATCATGATCTGTAAAATGAAGCCTTCTGATTGGTCAGTTCTTGTGCTGTACCGATCTGTATTGCTTTTGAGATGGTCCCTCTCGATATTCTGTATTGGCACTCGACTTCGTCTCGTTCCAATACGGAATATTCTCGAGGAAAATATATCCTGCATTGCACTCAAAACCATTCAATAACTTATAGTATCAACCCTATGCTCGTATTGCATTCTTACAGTATATTGCTTTGTAAAATTCAGTACGAACAAAATGCCTCAGGGTGCATGGTTTGAATTGTAGGTCTAGAATGATTAGAAGGGCTATTATAAAATGTTTATTTACACGTTGGATCGTAATTCTTATGTCACCATCCCGAGTGGTGACGACATAGTGCCATAGTCTCAAACCTTTTTGTGCACGCCGGTTGGTGTTCGATGTCAATTGCGAATGATGTTTTAAACGTCAAAGCGTGTGAGTAAACGAGAAAACACGAGTAAAAGAGTAAACACGACGTGAAAATACAGGTACAGGGTGATCCAAAAGTAAGTTTACAATTATTCGACAATATCTTTGTGTAAACTGTAAATCTACTTTTGAGACACCCTGTATTTTACATCACACAGACCAACACGATTGCAGAAATCTTACTGTGTATGGATATTGAATAATCACAGCTGGCATGGATGACTCTAACTGCAGTTAGTATCATTGAAGATGGAGGCCAACACACAATTTTTTTTGATAAACCAACGATTTCAGCTAAACTAAGTTGAATCTGGATTCCAAATGTTTCGCCATTCAAACTAATAAAGTAACGATTGTAAACACCCTGTAAAAAATGCTCAGACACCCACATTAATAGAGAATTTTAAAGAAAACAACTTAACTTAGAATGACTCCAAGGGATGATATGTGTGAAGTGAGATAGATGACCAAGTGGCTGAAGTTCTTTAGTTTGACAACATGATAAACTTATTAGGGCGAAAGTAAAGCTTAACTTGACCTCATTGTATGATTAGTTTGAATAAAGTATCGTTAAGTTGTTAAGAATCCTGGTCGATGCTAGATTTTAGAGATAGAAAAATAAAAAATGATTAAGATAGTAAATGAAATCATACTACAGTATATTAAATGAATCTCGATTACAAAGTGAAAACCAGGGACTAATATGTTCTTAATGGTAGCTTCTTAATAAATATTTCTAAATACGATAATAGCTAAAAAGTGATCACTTATTGGGGTCAAAACTAAACGTGGCACTGCACGTGAAAATTAGAGCGACACTTTATTTGCTTTGTCGAAAATATAATATATAATTATCAAAATCATATGTTTTTAAGTTTGGAGTTTCGCCACTTGGCATGCTCGATCAAGAATGATGGAGTTTCAAGATTCATTGAGCTGGCTGAACTCACAATTTTTACTTGACACCCTTGAGATCATTGAGATCGATCTCGCGTAAGGCATAATTGCGTATACATGTACATATTCTAACTAAGGGATTTGATCTTTATAACTGATCGCCTGATCAAGACTGCATTTTCTATGTCGTCTCTGACGCAAATTCTGCTTTAGCAATTTAGCCAGACAGTGTTTTGTTTTTTTATAGATGTTTCAGTCCCTGGGATACCTTTCCATAGATTGTAATGTCCAAAACAGTAATGTGAACAATTATTCTTGTAAATGTCCATAAGTGTAATCATCCTCAAGACATTTACTATGGCTAGGTTGAAATATTCAAAAATCAGTTATCAATTTTTTTTAAATTTTTTTTATAAATGTAGTTGTTTGGTCAGAGACCACAAAAGATTGTAATTCCCATATCCAAAACTTTATATCTAACTTTTACATGTCCATGGGAATACCGATTCCAGAAGTCTGGAATTCTTATAGCCATGGATTTGAGTCTGCCTGATACATTCACATTGACACTTGTTGATCATTCAATCGTTCTCAAAGAGAAGTAAAATATTATTTGAATAAATACATGTATAGCATGCTGACAAATAAAATATATATAAAATATATATAAATTGCCGCTAATGTTGCAAAACCTTGGCAATTAGCTAACTGAAATCGATTGTAATTGTATATTAGAAATAAATTGATAACATGAAAAAAAAAAGATATTGAAGGTTCTTGCCTAAAGTGCAAGAGGTTACTGCAATTGAATTTTGAATTGGATGGTGCCAACAAAGGTACGTTTACAAATTGTATGCTGGAGAAATATCTGACTCTTTTGAACAGTGTCAAACGAAGAAATATAAATAAGATAAAGAATCTATTTGATTTGCGTGCTGCAGTAAACGTACGCGCCAGTCAGTTTATATTGTAAAGAATTGTATGCGCTGAGGAAAAGTAACACTCAAAGACAGGAGACGATTGCAACAAAAGTAAATGCCATCATGTTATGAAAAAGCTCATTTGTGTCATGAGAATATCCAGATTTTAGGTTAAATCATAAAATGATACATTTGTTAAAACGTGAATAAGCGCACTTGTAAATTGTCAATTGAGGTTTTGTTAAAACGAATTGTGCAGTTGAGAAACTGATTTTCAAAGAGCGTCCGGCAAACGTTTCAAATATGTATATATTAATGAAATTATAAATAACCACTAAAAGCTTTAGACATTTAAGATAAAGAAATCATTAAATAACAGTATAATTCTATATAAAAAATACAAACATATTTCACAGATTTAGCGGTGTAGGTTATACAGATGGCTCTCAAACTTTTAAGGGCAATAACATTTTTGAAAGCCAGAAGTTTACATAGGATACAATCTCAAACCGCGTCATTGTTTGATCTTGACTTTGTTTCACAATAGTTTTGAAAATTTTATAATTTTACATAATAGTTGATCTAAAATGGGACTTCCAATAGACTAGATGCGAGGAGAAATAATCTTGATTTACGTCATTAAATATTCAAAATTCAGTCAAAGTGAATTGACAAACTTATAGAAGGGAGAGTAATCTTATCCTACAGCGAGAATGTGAACATCTGAAGTTTAAAATGTGGTACAGGGTGACATAAATCAAACGGCACGAAAGGTACAAACGTACCACCTTATAGCTGCCAAGATCGGCAAGTTGAAAAGGAGGAGGGAACGTATTGCAACAGATTCTCATCAATATAATATGTCGTCCTCCAAATAAGGGCCAAGAAAAGTAGAGTTATCAATCCAACTGTCTGGAAATCAATGGATTAGGACCCTACCTCAACACATTCATCAAAATGTTTTTTCTGAAAAGATTCATTGGCCGGCGCCCGGTCGATTGCAGTATTTTGTTCAAAACTGCTTTTTGTTTCAACATTGACCAAATCATGAACAAGTTCTCAGGAGTTCACATCTGTTCACATCTGATGATTCTGAGCAAATGTGACCCAGGTATAAGATGGGCAGTTGATGTTAGTAGTCAATTTTAATGAAGAATATAAATGTGCAAATACGATACATACTCGGGTATAATTTAGGCAATTCGTATTCTTCATGTTCTCCATGCTCGCGCCTGTGGCTTGATTTGACGGCATCTCCTTGTTCATCGTAGTCTCCGAGTACGGCAAATAGAATAACAAACGCCACCTGCAGTGTCCCAACAATTGCGAAAAATTTCCCTCTCTTCCACATTTTTGAAAAGTCAGCTTTTCTTCAACGAAACGAAATGGTTTTTTAATCTTTATATCATTAAAACTTTTTTTCTGGTTTTGGTTTTCTTAACTTTCAACGAGTTATCTAACGACTGTTTAATCTGATATGTAAAGTTTATTTAATGATTTTCTTTGATTACTTAGTTGTTCTTGACAGTTCAAGATTATTTTTTAAGTTGATTTGATAATTTCCTAAAGTACTCTTGCATTTGGATGCAGATAAGTTAAATGTCTATATATTGTTCCCTTGTGTATAGTCTGAATGTATTTTCATTGTAAAAACCTTAGGAGCGACGTGCGCTTATTTAACATACCTACATTTTGAAGCTGATTGATTGAGTGAAATTTTGAATAAACGTTTATGATTGGTGAATACCTTACACACCCCAAAATCTAAAGCACGCTGGCAATAGTCGACGCAATTCAGCAACACATGGAAATGGACGAGATTCTAAGTTGATGACTATGTTAGAGAAAGACACGAGGTGAACAGCATATCGGACCCATTAATAGAATATGCATTTTGGATCGGAAAGTCCTAAATGACCGCATTAACAGAAAAGAAAACTAAATAGTTCTAGACTTTGATACCAAGAAACATCCCTTAAAAGGTCCACGTGCAGTATGGCAAGTGATTTTAGACAGTCATATCTTTCACCATGAGTATTTTCTGGGTATAAATACAGTGGTTTTTATTAAAACAATATGTATATCAAAACAAACTGATCATAGCACCCAAAGTTAGTGATAAAAATGAAAGTCAACTGTCAGTTGCTTGATATAGGATTGAGCTGGGTTTATCCATCGTACAAAACTGTTCTAAATCTTTGTATATATAGTATCAGCTGATTTATATTTTTCAAACAGATGATATTATTTCGAAAAAAACCTTTAAAGTGTATGACCAAATATCTGGCGGTGTGTCAAGCTACCCAGCACAGATCACATTTTCAATTTCTATATGTCATGGCGGTCGAGTTGTTAGTCGAGTTGAACATGCGAGGAATAAAATAATGGATAGAATAGATGTCCGAACGGTCTCCATTTTATTAATAGACAGCTACCAGATTCAAAATATCTCGAGGGAAATGGGTTTTGGGACATTTGTTAGTAAAAGCAACAGATCTGTTTCTATGGATCAGATTTTCAAGCTGATGAATGGCTCAATGAGGTGGCCATGACACTGATTTTTAGCGTTTTAACACACTAGCTCTAGGATAAGATTTCAGGAAGTACTGTGGTCTTATTTTTTAACACATCACCATCATCATTTCGGCCCCGTCAAGTAGGATGATGGGTGGCTCTTAGAGACTTTCTCCTTGAGGCAGTTCTTCAGAGATTTCAAAGCTTTTTCTTTGTAAAGGAGGGGGGGAAGTATCGCAACAGATTTCGGACAGTCATATGTTAGACTTTGGGCTATTTTCTGAGGATTTAAACAATTGTATATGCCTAGGCCAATACATTATCTCCAGGAAAAGCACTCATAGAGATGATAAAATAATTCTATCTTTGAGACAGGGGAGATTCAAACAACCCAACCGCATGTTTGTTTTTTCTGAAATGTTGTCCTTATTTTCAACCCCTTCCACCCCTACTTTTTCAATTCTCAAGATTTATAAGTAGTGTTAAGGAATATTTTATTATGGACAAACGAGTTAGCAGAGGTGATAAGTGGAAAATTATGGAAGCAAATTTAAACAAATGACACTGATGATTTTTCCTTTAAATAAAAAAATGCCAAAGGTATAAAATTCTTAAACACACTAAGTGTAACCAATACTGTATTGTAAAATGTACGTTTACCATGTAACTGTAAATACATGATGGTAAACAATTGTAATTGTTTTTTTGCAATTGCTTTAACATGTTTTCTTCTCTGAAATAAAAAAAAATAGATAAAAAAATTAAAAAATTTAAAAAATCATTTCGTCATACTTTTTGTAAAATTATATAAACACAAATAAAAAAAATATTGAAATCTGTACATTTTCACTGGCGATGGCATTGATAAATCTTGATCTCAATCAATCATCATCCCAATTTTGAATTTGGATTTTTTTGTCTTCTACCTTTCAACAGCACCCTCTGTGGAGTAGTCCCAAAGCCACAGAAACTGTGACAAAATCTATGAATACAAAAAGTTACAAATGTTTACCAAACGTAACTTATTCCTGACTAAACACATACGAAATTAGTACCAAGTCATAATCATTTGACAAGACTCGTTTTTCAACGTTGCCATAGCGTCATATACACTGTGTCTATGGCGTACATTCAAAATTAAGAGAAAAGTTGATTTTTATATCGAAATGCCTCACACTGTGAAAATGGATAAAGATAATTGACTTTTTATTAGTACATATTAATCGGAATTTCGTTTTTTAAAACGCCCCAGAGTGCTTCAAATGCAATCCCATTTTTATAATTTCCTTTATTTTTCTAGCATTTTGTTTACAATTTGAATTCTTGGCAAGTCTAAAGCTTTCACAGATATCCGACAGGGAATTCAAATGACCAGAAAATACAACATGTAGCATATAAGAACCAAACATATGATTACCCATCTTGATCCATCAATCAGGGTATATCAAGACTGAAATAATTCGCTGGTTTAACAGTTATTTACCCGCTGTCAAATGATAGGTTGGTGATGACACCCAGTGCTTATTTAATGGTTGATTAACTTCGTTGACATTGACGTCCTAACGGGTGGCCTGTAGTTGGAGGTGGTCCCCAAACAATCGGTCATACAAGGTTGCTTTGCTTACAGGTGCCCCTCAACCTAACACTCCTCCTCTCGTGGACGAACATGTGACAAAGTCATACATTACATCCGATATAAAATACAAATATCATAATAATCTCTTATTAGGAGAGCCCTTGCTGTTCTCAGTTTTTGGTTATGATATAATCATCTTTTTTATCTTAACACACGTGCACTAAGTACACCAATGTTTATTGAAGAAGGGAAGGTATATCAGGGGCGTAGCCAGCTTTCAGTCAGGGGGGTGCGATCGCCAAAAATTAGATTTTCAGTTAGGGGGAGGTGCGAGTTCGAGTTTTTTCGTTTTTTTCGATTTAAGGTAGTTGTTCACTGGCAATAGGTGGCACAATGCTATACCATAGGGGCAATGATTTGGCGAGTGTTCAGCTTTAGGAAAATGAGTTTTTTACTTTATGTTTATTTGGCTTAACGTTTGAGAATATAGTTTCGTTTAAGGAGACTCTATACCATAGGATAGCACAATCAAGACCCTAGTAGGTTAAATCGAGAAAACAAAAAATCTTACAGAGGTCGAACCCAGACAATTTCTCCACTTTGTTTATGATAACGTTATGTAAAAGTATAACTCGTTAGGGAACAGTTACAGTGGCGTAGCCAGGATTTGTCAAGGGCTGAGGCCCAGGAATACGTTAAAAATGTTTAAAAAGTCCGCTAGTGTACTGAGTTGTTAATGCGTGGTGTATATTAGATTACTTACATATATAAGAATAAGACTGATTTTTATAAGCTTAATGGATAAGAATAAGACTGATTTTTTATTAATGACAGTATACCCGGGCCTCAGGTCAAGGGGGTTCTAATATTTTCAATTGTTTCGGAGAAATTTAGACAAATGCTCAACAAAGCACACATTTTGCCAAAGGATAGGTATCGATATGGTGAACTGAATTCAACAATGTTTTTCTCTTAAACCAATTATTGAAAACATTCTGTAAAAAAACATGGTCCTTTATGTAATGTTGACTGATTGGCTACAATTTCATGCAAAAATTATATATATATATTTTATATAACTGTTTTTGTTAACATATTTTGTTTTTTAGTGAAATTGTTTTTTGTTCCTTTCTACCAATTCTTGAGAATGAAATAAAATGTCTTTCCGAACCTTGTTGAAACAAAATAGCATATACAACATTTTCATAGACCTCTCAATATTATAGTTTTACAAAGGAAATTTTGGTTGATTTAACAAAAAGTATGCAAAAACCTAAAACAAAACCCCCCAAAATAGATAAAAATTAAGATCAACCTTTTATTTCATATATACTTTTTTAAAATCAACCAAACTTTCCTTAGGACTATCAATAGATGGCGAAAATTTCAGTGAGTTTACAAAAATTTCCCAAGATAAATTTTGTTGAGAATATCCAAAACCTTTTGATTTTGAATCTTTAAACATGTTTGTAAATAATAATGAAGAAAAATATGATATTTATTTGATATGTCTAGTGAATTTGAAGTTTTAAAACAGCAATATTAACACACAAACCAATGGACCAGATGTGAAGAACAACCTAGTAGTTAACTGCCCTCTATACGAGTCCTGGCTCCCATTACAATATTGAGAGACCTAAACACGTTGTGTTTATGTCGTTCTGTCCCGATAAGGTTCGGATAGATGTTTCATTTCATTCCGAACATATGATACCAAGAACGAAAAAAGTGTCTCATGTGTTTTCTAAAAAATATAGAGAAAAGGATATATATATATAATTCAAATTATAATATTACCATCCAAAAGATGACCATTAAATTGACCATATGTAAAACTTTCAGAATGTTTTGATGACTGGTCTAAGAGAAACGCGTGTTCAAAAAGTTCACCATATCGATACCACTCCTTTGCTCGCCAAAGCTCAAATTTTGCCTTTACTAAGATTTTGCCAAATTTGCTCAAATATTGCCAAATTTGCTCAAATCTTGCCAGATTTACATCATAAATATTTGACGATTTTGACGTTTTTCCACAATCAAAAAGTTTCTACTTGGTAAATATGCTTTATTTGTACGCTTCAATTTATTTTGAAGGTATCAAATCAGTATTCCAGGCCTAAACTGCAAACCTATTATCGCCAATCAAAATAAATCGATTTTCTATATTTTCTTTTTATCTCAAAATAAAGTTATTATCTCACACATTTTCATCTTTTTCAAACTTTTTTAACTCAAAATTGTGATGGGAGGGTTTATTTTAGGCAAGATTTGGAGGGGGCGCGAACCCTCCGAACTCCCTCATCCTATGGACCTGCTAGTATAGAATTGCGATTCAGTGTTTGCGCAAAAATAGTCATCTTTCTTACAGTGGAATTCATTCTAGGCACCATACTTGTTTTGATTTTCAATCAATGAAAACTTTATAACTTGGAAATCCAAGATGGTTCATTGATCTTTCATAAAAAGGGTTTGTTCCAGGCCATGGGACAAAAGGGGGGTTCGAAACGAAGGGGGTGGACCCCATGAGTTAAGTAATTAATGTTGGGTTGCAGTTTTTCTGATA